AAAAGAGGGGTAGACAACCCACGGAATGGGTCAAGGTTGTAGAGGACGTATGGAAGGGGCTCGACATCGACGAAGATGAAACGCTGGAAACGGAGGGTCTACAGGGGTTCAAGGAGAAGATATCTGTTACTTGTGCCGAGAGAGAACAGCAGAATCTGAGGAAAGAATCCAAGGATAAGGAGGGTCTAGAAGTGTACGGAATGTTGAAGGAAGGAATAGGGTTCAAGGACTACCTACATGGACCAATGGATGCAGGAACAAAGCTTAAGGTCAAATTCAGGACCGGGGACATAGGCCTTCGAGAACGTCGACGAAGACATAGGACGGTAGACGAGGAAGACGACGAGTTCAAATGTGATTGCGGCTTCGAATGCGAAGACCGTGTTCATGTAGTCGCGGAATGTCCGTTGTACAAGAAGGAGAGGGAAGTGTACGTGACTGAGCTGGGAAAAATAGATGGAACGTACAGGGAGATGTTTGAGGCATGGAATAGAGAGGAAAGGACGGTAGCTGTAGTGGGGCATAGGAGGTGGGTTGAAAAGGCGGGAAGGGATATCGTTAGGATAAACAGACTAGGGAAGACACTTTTAGGCCACCTTTGGCAAAGTAGGAAGGAAGGATTGGTGATCGGTGATCGGTCCTGTGGGAACAATGCTCCGTCCTCTCGAGGACGCGTGGTCAATGTTCTAACCGCCAAGACATGCAAAACATAAGAGTACGCCCCCCCCCTCCCCCCCCCACAGCAGTGCAGAGGGCAAATCCTGCGAAAGAGTGGCGAGTGCATGTGCAGAGTATGCACACCACTGCAGCACAGAGTATGCACACTGCAGCAACATGTCATCGTTTTCACACAATTGCGCTGTGTCGCCGTGTCCCTTACACTCGCTGTGTCTTCGCACAACACACAACACAACAATAGCAGTAATTGAGGGCAACTAATAGCGAAGGTTTGGTGTGGTTGAAGGGAATAGTGAGTCCGCTGTGTGACGTCGTGGTTATTCGGGTCCTCCACATACAAGCAGTGCCAGACCGCTTGCTAGAATACAAGCATGTTCGTAAGAAACCAAGGCTCAGATTTTGGACAGATCAAGAAAAATGTCCCACGAAATTAAACGTAGAGGCCGGCGCTACAAATATATAGCAGCCTTTGCTTGGTGGTGGGGACAAAATAAACGTGAGCCTAGCTCAAAATACGAGGCACGGCGGACGTTTCTTGTGACACCGGCACTGCCGTAGGGAAAGAAACATGGTGCACGTACAGCAGATAACATGAACTTTAAAACCCAATTTTGTTTTAATACTTCGTAAAAGACTTCGTAGCATATTTACGTACAAGTAGACCAGCTCAAAAACAAAGAAGGTGGGAAACGCGGTACAGCATCAACCCATTCCAACACATGCAGATGTGGGGGCAGGTGGCGTGCGTCTATCATCACACCTACGCCTAAAGCCGTTGTCTTCAGCAGCAAGCAGCAGCGGCAGGTATCACAACTCTGCCGCCTCGCTGCGACCGCCGCGTGTGCATGATAACCATGCGCGCAGCTGGCTGCCCGAAGTATAAATCAATGCGCCAATTAGCAACAGCAGCAGCACCAAGAGATGTCCGTACCTGTACCAACGGTGTATTCTTGACGGCACCTTTAATCCCGCGGCGGCTGTTCATTCGTGCGGTAGCTAGGTCCAGGAAGACGACAAGCAGCAACAGCAACAAGCCAACAGCCGCACGTGGCGCTGCTACCCCTGATGGTGTTGGTCTACGCCTCTGAAGCAGTGCAGCCATGATTGATCGCTTCACGGCAAGCCGGTCGGCGAAAAACGGACAATGCTACAGAAGAACGAAACAGCAGTGCTCAGCCACTACGGACGAGGAGGTACGCTCTCTGATCTGATGGTGTGTGAACACGACGACGGTGAGACGCTTGCAGGCGTCCCGGCACCCCCAATTATATTGCGGAGCCCCCTAGTCGCTGTGAACGTGGACGAGCTCGCCACACATGGCATCGATTATTGGGAGGAAGCAACTGCCACGATCGATGATGCGACGGCTCGCCTTGGCTATTGCGGTGTTACCTTTCTGGGTGGAGATCGTTGGTGGTTTTGGCCTCAATGCTAGGCCGTGGTCTGCTGCGAGACGGCCGCACTACCGTAGAGAAACAAGATTACGCGTCAAACAACCCACTGCAGCAGAAACCGTGGTGGAAGAAAGGACCTTCAGCAGCAGCACCACCAGCACCACCAGCCCACTTCGCCGCGACTCACGGCCGGAATCGAAGCGCGGACGGGCAAACCGCGCGATCAAGCGGAGGGCGCGCAGGTTAGCTCGCCTGCGCCGCAAGAACAAAGCGAGGGAAGATGCCTTGGAACTGGCTGCGGAGGCCCTGATCATCAATGACGTTGCACGGGTCCCGAACTCCACCTACTTCCCTGCACGGCGGCGACCGGCCGGCGGACGCGTAGCAACGCCGGCAGCGGCAGAGCAGGATCGTGCAAGGCTGGTAGAAGTAGCAACGCCGCCCGCGAGGGATTCAGCACCAGAAGAATCGATTTTCTTTGCCGGAGTCGACACCGAAGATGCCGATAGATTCGACCCTCCTCCGCGTCGTTCTTCGCCGTCAACCTTGGCAGAAGCGGCGAAGCAACGAAAGAAGAAGAAGCACGCCACCATAAAAGGCCGGCCCATCGTCAAGGGCGGGAAGGACCGGGGGCTCTGGAGGTCGATATTCGGCCCGAGACCGCTGCTGGAGGTGCATTCCATTGATCAGCTTTCGCAGCTCGTGGATGCGGAAGGGTGGGGACTGGAAGACCTATCCGTTCTCACGGGTGGGCCCAGGCCTGCCGAGAGTGCTGCCGCCACCAGTACGACCGCTGCTATTGCTGCCGCTGACGTCGATGACATCGCACGGGAATCATTAGCAGCAGCGGGGGGAGCGGCAAGCAAGGTTGCCACCGAACCGGGTGTGGCGTCAGGCGGGGGGGCGGCTCCAGCAACGGTGAAAAGCAACGACGACGGCGAGGGTAACACTGCTGTACGGGCGGAGGATATTCCTGCTGTCCCGACACCGCCACTCCCCCCGCAGGAGAAGCTGCACCCGGCGGTGCAGGCGTTGCTAGAGAGGGCCACCGCGGGGACGAAGCCGTCCATGCATGGAGACGGAAGGCGCATCGGCCTCGCCATAGAAGGTGGCGGGATGCGGGGGTGCGTCGCCGCGGGCATGGCCTCGTGCTTGCACTTCTTGGGGATGGCGGACAGCTTTGACTGCGTCTACGGGGCTTCGGCGGGGAGCCTGATCGGTAATATGTCACTGACTTGGACCAACCTCTGCGAGTTATTTTGTTGGGCGCAGTGTTTTTTTTACGGGTGTGTTTGACGCGGGCGGCTTGTTCATCTCGTTTTCTGCTACACCTCAGGCGTGCGAGCACGTGGCTGAAACGTCGTTGCCGCGCGGCAGGTGATTTTGCCTCACAGACAAACCATCAGCATGTGTCTTGAAGCCTGGAGACTTTACCCAGGGTTACAAACCCCGAGTTGACGTCCTTCGTGCCGTCAACGCGGCAGTCGCGCAGAGAGTAACCACTGCGGGATAGTAGTAGTTGTCGCCGATGTAAAGTTGGCGACGGCACGGGATCCACCATACTTCATCGTATCAATGTTCATTTCATAATCCCTGTGGTTGCCTGAGATTTATCCCTACTTCCATCGTACTTGCTCATGTGCCTTATCGTTACAATATCCGAATGCCGAAACGTTCGGCGGCGCTTTCTTGCAACGGAATATTGACTGCCTCAGTGTACAGCAGCTGCCCATGCTCCGTCAGTCTTGGCCTCGCTATCGCCTGAGAGAGGAACCCCCCGCTTGTGTCGTAGGACGTACATACGTGCGCCTGGCAAGCGCAGCCGTCGTTCCTCTTCAATTTTGATCACGCCCCGGCACCTCTTAACTGCTGTGTGATGTGTGCGCTGATAGGCCCATCGTACTTCTCAACACATGGAAACTCAAGGCGACCCGCGTGTGTTGTCTCTCTCCCGCCTTCTCCACCATTCTCTCTTTTGCCCTTTCCTGACAAGGCGCATACTTCGTCAGTCGCCAGTCGAACGGCACAGCGGTGTACCACGACGTTCTCCCGTCCGCTGGGGCGAGGTTCATAGACATGGCCAAGTTCCCGCAGGCGCTTGGTTTCGAGTTGCCCAAGGTGCCAAGGAAGGGCAGCGGCGGACCAAGCGATGAGGAGGAGCGTGGCGCCCTGGAAGCCGCCCGCGCGGCGAGCTTTGCCCGGGTGATCGGGCTCGATTTCTTGCTGAAGGACGTGGTGGGCAGGGTACACGGTTTGGACTTCGACGCCTTCAGCGCTAACGACAAGCTGCAACCCTTGCATGTCGTGGTAAGTGAGAAGTGACGGACCGATCGGGTAAATATCTGTTTCTTCTGCTGTAGCAGTGATAGTTGTACTCCTGTTACTGCGGTGTACCGAAGGTTGTTTTCTGGCAGGCGCGATAGACGACTCTGTTTTGCGTCACGTGGGAGTTCCCTACCTCAATTGGTGTGGAACCGGCTCCACGGCCAGTGCCTTTCACCGTAGCCCCCCCCCCCCCGCGCGCGCTTGGCAATCGTTTCAACGGGCTGTCCAGTCGTTCCACCTCACGTCCTTGAACCACGCCGATTCGCCCCCCTTGCTCCGTCCCGCCCAGGCGAGCGGCGTGAGCAGCATGGGCACGGTGTCCCTAGCCTCCAGGAGAGGGTATTTTTCCACGCTAGACGAGCTCACCGGCTGCATCCGCGCCTCGATGCTCGTGCCCGGGCTGGCGNGGGGGGGGGGGGGGGGGGGGGGGGGGGGGGGGGGGGGGGGGGGCGCCGTCATCGACTGCTGATTCAGTGGCCTCACCGCCGCAGGAAGAGCGAGTTGCAACCCTGCCGCCGACCTCAGGCACCGATAGAGACAGCAGAGCCGGTGGGGAGGGTTGCGAGGCCGTAGTGACGGCATCGTCGCCGGTGGACGGCGAATGCCGTGAAGAAGACGGGCAGGAATCGGGTAGCGGCGTTGGGGAGCTAGCGACAGGCCAGCCTCGAGCTGGCTTTGTGGGTGCTGGCGAAGGGGAGGCAACGGAGGAAGAGGAGGAGGAATCGTTACGACAACAAGGAGAAAGGGAGGAGGTGCCTGTAACGGCAGCGCCGGCGGAGACCTCGGAGAGCGGCGCTGGCAAGAAGGAGGGTACGAGCGGCGGTGGTGATGCATCGGAGCTCTTGGTAGATGCGATGGTTTTTGAGCCGCTTCCCTATAGGTGAGCCGAGGCGAAAGAGTTGCGGCAGCGATTTTATTGGTGAGCAGCTTTTGTTGAAGCAATTACTTGACCCGTCTCGTCTCCGTCCCACCGCGGGGTGGTCTGGGGCGTTGAAAGCATGCCAACAACAAGTGTCCTGTTTGCTTGCCGTCGCGTGCATTGAGTACGGCTGTATATTGTGACTGGACAAGGGTCGAGCTTGTTGTAAACCAGACGCGTGTTCATGAAGTGATCCACATGTCCACGAGGGTCAAGAGAAAACACCAAAGCTTTCAAATGAAGTACATGTGACGTGCTTGGCGAAATGGAACACAGCAGTGCACGGCCCTTTATCCTCATGCCCTCCCCACTCCGTCCGCCCATCTTGTCATTGACGTCTTCGTCTTCCCTCAAATGATAGTCCGCTCCATCCTCGGTCCCTTCTCACCACATCTTCACGTGCGTACTTGCCAAATGTATACCGAACAGGTCGGCAATGGAAGATGGTTGCACGGATGTGGTGGTGCTCTGCACCCGTCCCGAGGGGAGCCAGGTGCTTGGCAAGGTGAGACATGAAATAGAGCATTCCCACCGAAAGTATTTCGTGGCTCGAGGCGAGACCCCACGTTTTATTCAGGTTTCGTCCCATCGGGCACAAGAAGGCCTACCAGCGGTCTTTTGCTTTCGCCGTTGCGGATATCTGTATATCTTTTTACCGGCCCCAAGCCGTTCCGCATGTTCTCGCCCCACACCCTCCTCGACGCGTGAACGCTGATTCTTTCGTGTGCTGCTGTTTGATTCTTCTGTAGCTCCCTGTCTCCAACGCCGTGATGGTGCTCAAGTGTTGCTCACATGTTGAGTGGAAAGTTTCACGAGTACATCATCGTGCCGAGCTGCGCCACGCGTTTTCGTCGTTTCACAACACCTTTCCTGTTTTCATGTCCCGCGTTGTCCCTGTCCGTGCGATCACATCAAAATCCACAAGAAACCGAGTATCTACGAGTCGCGCGTGGTGAAGAAGTTTTTCGAGCAGCACGACGACCCCGACACCACGTCCGGGATCAGCAATTATTTGCAACAGGTACAACACTCACTCGCCATCCAGTTGCCTTGAAAACTCGGGGGGCATGTTCGCCAAAATTTATGCAGGGTACGAGTGACAATGAAAACAACGCTTGCACATTAGGTCGTCAGTGCTAAGATCGCCGCGTCAATTAACTGTGCCGGTTGGGGGATGGTAAATGGCCGCAACATCGCCAAAGCGCCGCGGTCAGCAGCGACAACACTAACATCAGTAGTGTTCAAGCCCTGCAATGGAAATGCAAAGTGCTGCACCTCAAGTAGAATGCGGCGGAATTTGAGTCCAGAAAAATATGTTCGAGTGTACTCTGACTCCCCGCCCCCGCTCTTTCCCGCTCATCGCTGCGCTCCGGGCCACAATCCCAACTTGTTCCCAGCTGGAGCACCTCAGGGTGTACGCCGAAGACGCGCTGGTCCTTGGCGAAGGATCTCGGACGGGGGTTGCGCAGGCGGCACCGAAGGGGGGAGCGGGGGAGGGGCGAGAAGCGTTTCTGCTGGCGATCGCGCCGGCGGCGGCGTCCAAAGAGGTCGGCCAGTTAGAGATGGACCGGAGGGTGATCCTCCAGGGGTGCAGAGACGGGTTCGCCGCTTGCTACGATGCCTTCGTTGGCCCCGCCAAGTCTTTGGCGGCAGCTGCGGCGGACGACGGAGCGGACGTGGTCGGCCCGTTGGCACGGTGAGCAGAGAAAGCCGCCGGAACGGAGAAATATGGAAGGAAACGGACACGTGTAGCCGGTACTCTGCAGGCAACTCGTCGGCGTGAGCGTCTCCGCTCCGGGGGCGTATCTTTTGTGGTATCTCTCCTTAGCGAGTCTCATGTACTAATGACTCGCCAAAGCTGTGTTGTCCTAAAATTGATTATGCCGGCTTTCGCGCCCCGGGAATCCCCTCACCTTACCTCACCCCCCCTCCTTCCTTGACGGAATCAACGTCAGGTCGGGCGCGGAAATGGCTCTTGAGTATTTCCCGGACTCGTTGCTCTCTACACTTGCGGACATCAACGCCACTTACCTGGAGACGGGGCATTTGATTTCGGACAATCAGGGGCAGGGTTTGTTTTCGCCCTTGCCTCCTCTTGCGCGGACGACGGCGGCGGAGGCGTCGGGAGGCGCTGGTGGTGGTCGTGGTGGGTCCGGGAGGTCGTGGCTCGGCCGTAACAACGGCGGGGGCGCTTCTTCTCCTTCACCGCTGAAGACTTCGCCGTCAGATGGAAGGCGGGGCCTGCTGCGGCGACTGCTTTCACGAAGCAAGCTGAGACGAAAGTCGCGTGCTTCTTCCTCGAGGTTCGCCGCTCTTGCCCCTGCTCCAGCGGAAGCTGTGGTGACGGGAGGTGCCGAGAGTGTGAGCGCCGCTGCCGCCGCAGCGGACCCAGCGAGGTAGCGGTGCACGGGTTATAGCTATGGCGTCGTGGTGTTGCGCAGTGAAACAGGTGTGGTAGGTCCCTCGTAGCCAGGCAGGCGGGGGAGTTTCACGGGCGATTGGAAACCCGCGACGTTTTCGGCCGTACTGCTGTGGTTGGAGGGTAGCCGGAGTGTCGTGTATTTTGCCATAGTTTCATTTGATGGGCTTGAGACTATGCACAAGTGGGGCGATGGAGGGCAAGTGAACTGCTCGAGACATCATTTCGCCCCCTGGCAATATATTCTCGCCAACTGTCGTGAAACGTTTTCATGAACGCTTTTGAGCGAATTTTGGGGCTGTTTCCCGCAATTGTACGTTCGCCGGCCTCCAACACTTCTACATTAAACATAAGCTTGTAGGTGGCTTGTTGCTTTTTTTATGGCGTTTCCAGGTTCGATATGTTTTTGTTGTACTTTTCAAGGGGGTTGGGCGTTTCACGACAGCAGGTGTCGAGCCCTCTGTCCTCTGTCCGTTTCTGAGTTGCAGGAACACCAACATGCAATGACGGCACCACCGAGCTGGGCGTCGTTAGCGCTCGGTCGGGCTCTTGATGTCCTCGCCGAGGACTGTCGGTCTCAAGCTACCGGACGGAGCATATATATTTTGTGCAAGCCGGGAAATTAATCCGGTCCCTCTCGAAGGTGTGATGGCTGACAGCCTTAGCTTTCTTTCCGTCCTGTTGCTTTCCGTACGTTTTGTTTTTAGTCTTGTCAGTTTATAGCATTGCTGTGTGGGGGGTGGGGAGTGGTGGCGGCTTTGCGCACATGTTGATATGTTTTTGCGCTTGTGTGCCGTCTCTGCGGGACCGGGGGGGCTACTCTTATGTTTGGCATGCCTTAGCGGTTAGACCATTGACCACGCGTCCTCGAGAGGACGGAGCATTGTTCTGCGGGACCGGGGGGGTATACAATATATTGATGTTTTTTTAGTGTTTGGAGCGTGGTATGTCATAGTGCCATTCTCGGCCTGCGCTTCGTGTAGAGGATGGATCGCGCGCATGGTGCTGTGCCTATCGTCAAACAGGGGTATGCTCATGACTCCACAAAAACACTCCGCTTGTTCATTGGCACCATCTGCATCATCAACCAGGGCTTAACGCATGACTGTCTACACAACATGTTAACCAGAGATACTACGACGTGCCACCTTCACTGCTGCGTCCCGAGGGTCATGGCAAACGCGCCTTTCACGTCGATTGAGCGTCTAGGCCTCCGAACAGGGCGGAAAGACACGAAAGTTCGTTCGTTTTCTACCGCAGCCTGCGCAAAGACAGCTGTAAGGCCGAAGAGGAGTCGGAAGAACTTTCGATGCGTCACAGTGATCAGGGGGAGGCGACGGGCGAAGCCACGTTGACGCCCCCAACACAACGGAAACTACGGATCCCTGCCCTGCCGTACCACTGCTATGTTCGTCCTGGTTGAGTTTGTACGATTAGTGTGCCACTAGTATCTACTCTACTGGAGCTCTTTTTGTTTTTTCACCGCGGCACGTTGAATCCATTCGCGTTCTCGCAGCTCAACGCAACGTGGCCCGGGCGGAGGCACCAGTGACACACGGCGTGGTCAAACGGACACCTCCCACCCTTCTTGCAACCCTCCTTGTGATAGTTGTAGTAGCGACAAATCGGCGTGACGCCGTCCGTCGGGGACAAACGCAACGGGGCCTTGTTCGGGTGAAAGTGCTTTGGTGTGGTGCGGTTCGAGCAGCCGCTCGATGCGTCTCCGCCGCCCCCTTCCGTATTTTCGTTGCAGGACGGCCTGGCCGAGGTGCTTCGTGCGAGCAGCTCGCGGAACCACAAGTCCCCTTCAAATATTCTCCCACACTCGGCGTAATAGCCGGCCTCGGACACCGTTCCCGCCGGAGTTGTTGCGCCGTCGTCGCATGCGTTCCCCGCTGCGTTGGAGCTCGCCTTCAGCTCGGCGAACAGCTCTTGGCTCTTCACGACGATTAGCCTTGGAGGTTGCGCGAAGGCCGTTCGTGCAAAAGCAATCATGCGGACGACACCGCGCACTTCACGGTTCCCCCCAATATCGATGAAAACCGCATCCACACCGCCACCCTTGATAGGTCGAGAAGCACCACCGTCGTCCTTCCCGATGCCCGCCTCCGTCTCGTGCTCCGTGGCCTCGACGGCGCCTCGCGGATCGAGGAACGGGTCCATCTTGTGAATGGCCACGTCAGCGCAAACTTCGCTCTCCGACGATACCAGTTTCAGCCTCTCCTTCGTCCGTTCCACCATGTCAGCCCCGACATCCAAGGCCACAATGCGACCCTTAGGTACATACTTAGCGAGGATGGCGGTTGTTTCCCCCGTCGAACAGCCTACCTCTAGAACCGTGTCGCACGCTCGAACTTGCGAAGCAGCGAGAAGGCGAAAAGATGCCGTGTCCGCCGTGAGGAGGATGAGGAGGGGCGGGGCGGCGGCGGTCAACCTGTTGGCAGGCGGCGACCTGTAGATGCGTACCAATCTCGACGGGCGGGCACGGTAGTCGGGCGGGTTGCCCGGACTGCTGGCGCGGCGTGGTAATCGAATCACCGCCCTCGTGTCCTCAAACTTCTTTCCCCTTTTCGGCTTCTTCTCCTGCCTGTCGACGTTCCTCCAGGTGGTAGTGCCGGCGACGTCGCAGCTACTGGCCCGGCTATGCGCGCCTGCTACTCCACCCGGAGGATCGGCTGAACAACAGCTGGTGCTTCCTTCGAGGTCATGGTATCCTCTCGAAAACTCCGTGTTTTCGCTCGTTGCCGCAGGAGCGACAACGGGTGTCGCTTCCACCTTCTCGATAGCGCAGACAACTCCCTTCTTCCCGACTTCCTTGGCAGACTTTGTGCGCACGAAAACCTCGTCCCCGACGGACAACGGGACCGGTTTCAGGGGCGGGGGGAATATCCTCCACTCTGCGGCGCTACTCATTGTGATGGCGGCCACGTGTGGTCAGGCGGAAGCTCCTACAGTAGAAAGAACGTGTCACGGTGTTGGTCAAGTCAGGCTATTTCTTTTTTCTGGTGGTGGTGATTCGACATGTAATGAACGAGTGAGCATGGAACGGCCTCCACATGACACTTTGCATGATTGAACTGCAAGAAACAATCGGTTCTGAGTGCAATCTGTGGGTGCAGACTGTGGATGGGGAACAACACGTTGTTGCTTCCGCCGGCGAAATAGTCCGTGTAGCAGTTGCGCTCAGTCGAATAGCAAGACCCGCATCCGTGTAAAACAAAATTATTATTTCTGCAGATGGCAGCTACAGTTTTTGTAAACAATTCAAATGCCAGATAACCACTGGAACGAAAAGCTAGGTAAAAATACATGTGTGTGCAGGTACCAATTTAAATACCTATTGGATAGAGGCAAAAGTGGGCGAACAGGTTTGCCTTTTTATGCTAGGTAACAACTGGAAGGAACATGCGAAACGCTGTGTCAAGGACAACAACTAGAGAGCCGAAGCCGTGCGCGAAAGGAAGCCTACATGCAGCAGTTTGTCAGTTGAAGCACTGGAGTCGTCTAGTCTACAGCGTACGAACAAGCACTGACTGACTGGCGTTGTTCGTGCAAACGTACGTTGAGGTAAGCAGGCCTCCAGCAGTCACTCAGCTTGGAACACTGCTATGCCCCGCACGCACGAACGTGCAAACAGGTGCGGAGCACACCTATTACTTGATCGCTGGTTTCACCATCAGCGCTCTCCTTGCTACCTTTCAATGAAGAATAGCCGTCGTCGCGTACCTACTACGGAATCCTGAGAGCCAGAGGAGAGTGTCCACCAGCCAATTTCCGCTGCAAGTCAATGCCAATGTCGACGGCAGTCTGTGTCGGTCGAGGGAAGTGGAGCCAAGAATGAGGTGGGACGAGAGAAACTCGAGTTGATAGGGAAAAGCCAAACAGCGGAGCTGCGAAATGTCGTTGGTGCGGGCAGTGAGAGTTGCCGAGGCAGAGCTAGAGCCGAGCCCGAGCGTTGGGGAAAGAGAACCACACGCTGTTGGAACCAGCGTGGAACCATAATGCGCTTGCGTTGAAACCCCAGATTTCGCAGGGCGGGGAGGCGGGAGACCGGCGCGCGTTCGCACCACCACCAGCAGCTCAGCAGCCTGACCCTGAGATGGCCACGCAGGATGAGAAAGTCAAGTGGGTGGAGGGAAGCCCTTTCATGGTCGATGGCTTCCGTTTCACGAACCCGCGATGCAGACACTATTTACTGACGCATTTTCACTCAGGTGATCCAGATTGTGATTGTTGCGACGCAGCAGCTGTGTATGTGTATACATGTAAGTGCAGCAGTCTTCTGAAGGTACTTGGTTGTTCTATATATATAGACACTTCCACCCTGCTGTAGGGGTGGCTCGATGCTGCCAATCGGGTGCGGTTTACTGCCATATCTCAGTCAAGCTTCTCTGTTCCGATGTGATACGATTGTTATAGTGTATTGGTAGAGAAAACGCAACGGGACCATGATTTCAAATCGCGGGATGATTGCAGCTGATGTTGCGCCGCCTGTCAGTGGAGAGCTCGGCTGGGGGAGGGGAGAAGGCTTACAATACTGTAGCTCTCCACCACGGCTGATCCTATGTGTGTATGTAGCTCAGCATGTTGTTTGATCACCACGAGGCCACCCTGCGACAGCAGGCTCATGTCGTCTTCACACACAAAACTCTCAGCCAATGTCGCCGGCTTCCTCCGACCTCCGACCGCTCTCCCTCCCTCCCTCCCGTATCGTGCACGAACATTCAACCGCCTATGATGCAGACCACACAACAGGGTTGTATAGATCATTCTCCGCGGGTAAAATTTATTGCTCTCACGGCACTGCAAACCTGATCGTCGAACTACTGGGGGTAAACCGGGAGCGCGTGGTGGCCCTCCCGATGGATACGCCGGTGCTTGTGGCTGGGTTCGAGCTGACCTTAATCGACGCCAACCATTGCCCCGCGGCAGTCATGTGAGACAAATGGGGAAGAGAGATATAGGCAGAGATAGAGACCGAGATGGAGAACCGCTTTGTGTTGGTGTCGTCGTCGAACGTAGGCGGTTCTGCGGGACTCAGCGCAAGCAACAGGCTCGTGAATTGGGCGTCACGGTGCACTGAAGGGCTGCCGATATCGGAGACCGCGTTGCGCTGATTGTCGTCCCGTCTTTCATTTCTTAACCCGCGTTTTCGCACACCTGGAGATAGGTTCGTCATTCGCGATCCCCGTCCAGGGGGGCGCACTACGTTACACACCGGTGATTTCCGAGCGGCCGAGAGCGTCTGCAAAAACCCCGTGGTCAAGTCCTTGAAAGGAAGACTAGACTCCCTCTACCTCGACACTACCTATTGCGGACCGCGTCATACATTTCCGGATCAGTCCGAGGTAAGCGGGGGGGGTACGGAGGGGACGAGAAACATGGGAGGCTGGTTTTCTGTTCAGAGGCAGTAGAATAGGGTGATGTGCATGACATCTACCGTCTTTTTGGTGTCAGTTTCCTCAAACGGGAGATTGCCTTCTCCTGTTGTAAGGTGTTTGAATCCCTGCTCACCTCCTGTGAGCGTGTTCAAACTGCTTAACCTTGTATGTGATCATCGATGCCACTTCATGCAGGTGCTGAAACAGGCTACGCAGCTCGTGCAGATGGAGCTTAAACGGGACCCAAACACCCTCTTCCTAGTGGGGACCTATTCCATCGGAAAGGAGAAAGTTCTCGAGGCGGTGGCCAAGGCAACTGGCAGTCGGTACGATCTGGTTGCAGTTGGTTCCGCCTGAAATCCATCCCTTCCCACCTTTTCTCTTATCCGCGGGTGCTTTTCCTGCCGAGGGCGTGATCGAGGTTGAACTCCGTTGCGGGAGTGACGAGGGTTGCTGATTTCTTGTTTCGAATGCGGAGCTGTCTCTATCCATGTGCCTGGTAGTGATACATGAAACACTGCGGTTCCCGTAGCAAACAATGCTCACAAACCTTGGTCGTGTAGCACAATCAACCGAAGCCTTATTTGCCCGACTTTGGGTTGTCAATTCTTGCGGAGATTTTACCCGTCTGTATTCTTCCCTTGGAGAGTCATGGATGCTAATGCTTCCCCGGCAAGCAAGCTTTGGAATCTCTCGGAGTACCAACTACCTGCGATTGGCTCTCCCTATAGCCAACACATTCTACCCCGTTTTGCAGCGCAAGAATATCACCGCGTCAACAAAAAGAGCAGAGATCAGGCATTGAAACCAAACACCCTGGCGATAACAACAGGTGTCTCGTAACTTCCCGTAAGGCCCGAACGATGCGGCTCTCCGGCGCGTGGGATGACACGGCGTACACCACCCACGATGCCACAACAGGAGGGGGCACGCTCGATGGCGATGGCGATGCGCCGGGATACGCCCGAGTGCGCGCGGTTCCCCTTCAGGACACGAATTCTCCCGCGACGCTGCGGGAAGTCTTGGCCAAGGCGAGGGCGGGCGGCGCCCCGTTCACCAGCGTGGTGGGTGTGAGGCCGACGGGGTGGACGCACACCAACGTGCGTAAGGGGGGAGGGGGCGAAGGCAAGGCCGGGGGTATCCAGTCTTCGATTGGAGGGCGGTCCGCGTCTGCCGCTGCTGGCGGCCAGGCGGTAAGATCCGGAGCGGAGGGACGCGGAGAAACAGAAGAAGAGGGCTCCGGGATATCTTCCAGCAGCAAACCACAGGATAGTGTTGGCGATGACATCAGCGGGGATCCTGAGTTCCTACCTGGGTGGGAAGAGCAGGACGATGAGGCGGCGGCATGGGGAGCTGGATTAGAGGCGGATGGGAACGAGGAGACCGTGCAGGTGGCGGCGAACGGCGTGGGTGTCGTGCCGCCCCCGTCGAGCTCGTCTTCGTCGTCATCCGCTGTTGCTGGTCCAGCCGTAGGAACGTGGACCGGAAAGAAGCCGTGGGTGGATGGCGTCGCGAGAGTTTACTCGCTCCCGTACTCGGAGCACAGCTCCTTCACCCAGCTGAAGGACTTCGTGCGAACCGTTAGGCCAAAGTGAGTGGGCATCGTGTGGTGTGCGGTAGGGTCCGTCTCTAGAGTAGCGTGAAGCCTGTATGTTATCAGTTGACCTGATCGTGAGGGCTGACAACAGCGGCGATTACCTCGTTTCTATATTGTTTCAACTTTTTTATGCTTGGATAGTCATCGTGTTCGGCTCTTGTTTCAAGTTATTTGTTGCCGCGTCGTTCACTCGTCTGATCGGTATCCCATGAAAGCGTCATTCGTTGACTCGCCTAGTTCGTGTTGCGCAGGAAAATCGTCCCTACTGTCAATGCAGTCTCTTCGGCCTCGGTGGAGAAGATGCTCAGCCATTTTTTGGAATTCATGGACCTATCCTCGGACCGAAAGCGCCTGGAATCGTACTTTTGCAAGCGTGACCCTCCCAGTGCAACCGCATCTCGAGGCATCGATATGCTTTGTTCTCCCGGCGCTAGGGCGCCCAATCCGTTCAAGTCCCCAGCTGAAAAGCGACGAAAGACCGCAAACAGCTCTCCCGGGTGGCCGCCGAACCTCTTCCCCGCCGAAAAACCTTCGCGCCCACCGTTGAAGGCAGCAGAAAGAAATTTTTTCCACGAAAACGACGCGACATCTGGTATTACGATGAACGAGTGTCCATGCGTCCTGAGAAGAGAAGGGGAGGCCCTGCATTCGAGGGCGGGGGAGCAGCCTTGTGGTGATGCGGGACCTCTTCCGGAAGCGACATGGACCGCCGAGGTGGCAGTGCCGGCGGCGATGCCTGCCCGGTCTTTTATAGCTGATGCCGGCACGCGTGCCTCTTCCACGCCCTCCGCCGTTGAGCTGGATCTTGTTGACGTGGAAGCGCAAAAGGCCATAATGGCTGACATCGAGCGCCGCAAGCGCGGGCAGCAGGAAGCAAAGGCAACCGGAGCCCACGATTCGCAGTCCGGAGACAACTCGCTGGGGAGTAGTAGAAAAAGTACGCCTGGGTCCGGGCGGAAACGAAACAACTCTAGCACCAGAAGCGACAATGGTCGCTCAGCGGACGCTAGCTTGCGAGGGTTTTTCGGCGGCAACGTCGTTTCGGATGCGAAGGGGACGAGAACGCTTGCGGAGTCCGTGGGTGGGTGCAGAGGCCAGGAGGTGCTGACGATAGACGACGAGGACTGTGGCGCGGAAAGGCCGGAACCCATGGATATTCGCGACTTTTTCTCGCGGCGTAAATAAGGCTGGCGGGCTCACCGGTAGACTCGTAGGGAATGACGAAGGATATGGTCGGTGGACGAGGCCTCGCGGGCGATAGAAACGGATGTCCGTTTTTGTCTCCGTCACAGCTGCAATCTCGACCGTCTACTGGACAGTCTACTTGCAGGTTTGACGACGTAATCTCCTTCCATAGCCGATGTCCACGGATTGTCCCCGTTCGGGGGGTTCCTTGATAGCCATTCTGATGTGTCTTGTGGACTGCTGCAAAGCGGATCTCTTGTATCTCGTTGCAGCTAAAATAAAGGCGTGGGTGACCTCTTGAAGAAGGCACTGCTGTCACAACTTTGGGCTTATTGTACGCGCGCGAGGCTGGCAATAAGGTGCGCGTGGTGTCGCAGCTGATATTCCCACCCATTGACAGCGTGGGAGCATCGTTGACATGGAACATTGTGACGTCGACCGTCGCTCGTTGAAGTCGAACATCGTTGATTGATCTCGAGTATTGCTGATTTCGATAATCGTTGACGTCGCGCATCCTTGAAGCCGAGCATCGCTAGCATCGAGCGTCGTTGAGGTCGAGCACCGTTGACATCGAGCATCGTTGGCGTCCAGCATAGTTGACATCGAGGATCGTTGATATCGAGGCATCGTTGAGGTCGAACATCGTTGATGTCGAGTATCGTTCAAGTCGGGGCATTGTTGACATCGAGCATCGTTGACGTCCAGCATCATGCTGACGTCAAGCATCCCTGACATCGACCATGGTTGGCGCTGACCGCCGTTGGTGTCGAGCATCGTTGATTGATGTCGAGCATCTTTGATGTCGAGCATCGTTGACATCGACCATCGTTGACGTCGAGCATCATTGTGACGTCAAGGGTCAGGAGTCCACCATCGTCGACATCGAGCATCGTGGACACCGAATATCGTTGCTGCCGAGCACCGTTGTGACGTCAAGCATCATTGATGTCAAGCATCATAGATGCCGAGCGTCGTTGACGTCAATCCTCCGTGACGTTGATCATCGTTGATGTCGATATCAGTCTTGTTGAGAAACGTTGCCACGAGCATCGTGACGTTGAGCATCGCGAGCATTGTTGAGGTAGAGCATCGTTGACACCGAGCATCGTTGAAGTCGAGCACGCCCGCACACGCATGGGGTGCGAGCCGCGAACGAATAGATACGTGACACATTGTGGAAGCGAAGCTATTATTTGCTCAAGTTACTATCAGACACCACCGTAAAAGGGTCATGATTTAGTCTGGAAAGGCCAAACGAATGGGATCTACAACCCGGAATACTAGCGGTAGACACTTCTTATCTACATCCTGCCGATAGGCCGGAGTGCACGTAGGGCACTGCTGTGTCCAAACAGACGCACGATTGCTGTTGCGCCGCGTTATCATAGATGAAACACGCTTTGAAACCAATAGCGGTTCTCAACCAAAACCTACGACACACGAGACACAAATCACAACTTGGTCAAAGAATGGCACCACGTAGTTCATCAACGAAAGCACGTTTCGTAAGCAACGGACATGAGGAAAATACCCGCTTCAGGTTCTCAGGTGAAATCCTCTCCAGTGTGTCCCAACGTCTAGCGAGGAACAACGTTCAAGAGAAATGGAATCCGGCAAATTTGAACAGGTACACCGCATCACGTCCAAACGAACAGCAACGTCGCTGCCTACTACCTCCTGAATTTTACATTGCCTAGGCAAAGGATGCACGCGAGTGATGAATCCGCGCCCCTCCCCTCCTAAGCGTCATCAAAACTGCCCTGGTGTCCGAAACGGGGTTTCAGCTACAACGCAATCATATCGAAAACCGCCGTTTCCCGTTCTCCACACGCACGCATTTAGCTTCATCGCAGAGGGCTGCAAACCCGAGAGAAGGAGCTTGAAACTTAACAAACTTGAACAGATTGTTACGCAGAAGAGGGAGAAGTGCAAACTGCAGTCAAGGGTTTCTTGCAGGGACAAACTCGTAACACCTCCAAACCAAACGGCGTTCGTCCCGGCAAAACTCTTCAGCAAAGACACGACCTTGGGGGTCACCTGTTCTCGCCCTCTTCCTCGCATCGGGGAAGACGGCGCTTGTTTTTCCCGTGTACGTAAAGAGCAAAGTGTGCTGTTGTGGATAGTGAGGAGGGGGTAAAGGGGCATTGGGGTATGCGAGGTTCCGTTTTCCCTGAACATCGCCATGTAACATGGTAAAACACGCCCCATACGGTACCACGCCCTCCGAAACAGGGCGGATAGCACACAACATAGCAACTCCTCGGAATCGGCTGCACGCTAATACCAACAGAAAGCATGGTTACACACCCGGGTGATGGATACTGAAACCCCGCTCGCTTGACGCAGGGGCCAGCCACGGAAAGACGAGTCCGTGTTGATGGGATGGGGGGTGGGGGGGGAGGGGGGGGAACCCCGACCCACGTCACGTGCTCCTGCCGCCGTACTAACGGCTAAGCCTAGCCGTTGACACCAAAACCAAGAGAAAATCACGGCGTCCTTTTTGCGGTTCATGCCAGTCGGATCAGCCTTCGACGACTCTCCTGATCCCGACAGGTTTGGAAACGCCGCCCCCCCTACCCTCCCTCAGTTCGTCTTCCCCCCTGGTGGGTACCAACTCGTACTCCCCTTCTCGCCCTCGCCGACTGCTGCTGGTCCGGTTTTGCTCTAGCGTCCCTCTCCCTCCCATCGGCTCCCCCGGCCGCGGCGCCAATCTATGTACGCCTACCGCGGTGTGCGATTCCTCCGCATCCTTCTCGACAGGTAACACATGTGGCGCAATGGGGGGGAAGGGGGGGGGGGTGTACTCATTGTACTAATAGTCGTGCATGCCGTAGTCGTTAGACCATTGACCTCGCATCCCTACAAAGCCGGGACGGAGTACGCCGGGTTCTCACCGGACCAGGCTCTCACATCACCAAGCGCGAAGCGCCGTGAGATATTCGGCGAGTCGCATGAAGGGTGCGCTGCATCCTGCTAAGGGTTTTCGGCATCTTGTGCTTACTTCCTTGCGTACGGATGACAGCGTATGACTTAATTTAATTTCTGGTGC